AGCAACTGGTGGCAACTAATCAAGGAGAGAAGCAACCTAGAACTAAGGAGAAACTTCCTGACAGTTAGAACAATTAACCAGTGGAACAACCTGCCTCCAGAAGCGGTGAATGCTCCAACACTGGAAGTTTTTAAGAGGAGACTGGACAGCCATTTGTCTGAAATGGTATAGGGTTTCCTGCCTGAGCAGGGAGTTGGACTAGATGACCTCCAAGGTCCCTTCCAACTTTATTATTATTATTATTATTATTATTATTATTATTATTATTATTATTATTATTATTATTATTATTATTATTATTATTATTATTATTATACACGTTAAGAGTTGCCTCCCAGAATGCTTTTTCTGTGTCATTCAAACCCCAACCCCATCTCATCCCCTCTTGGTGCATGAAGCATTCGGCACACAGTCATGATTTCCCTGACTCTACTTCAGGGCCAGGCAACCTGATGACTTTCAAATGCTCAGCACAACTGAATTCACAATTCCTGTGCTCTGCAGCGGAGCTGAACTGCCTCCGCTGCCCAGTGATGTGTGAATCCATCGGCGTAGGGCCAGTCCAAGAGCCTTGCAAAATGCAGAATGGCTAAATGTCAGTAGGAAGAGGATGAGGGTGTGTGGAGAATGTGGCTTTCAGCAATATCTGTATTTAAGCTTACGTTCTTGGATGAAGCCCTGGAGAGCTTTCCATCATGCAGACTGGGTATTTCCAATCCCTGAAAAATTTACCCAATGATGATTTTGTGGAAACCTAATACCCCTTCATGCAAAACTTCACTTTGCTCAATAAAAGACAGCACTTTCTATTTATTCATTTCCCCCTGGATACATAATTTCTATTTCTTTTTCTTCACTGAGGTGGCTTCTTCTACAGGTAGATCCCGACTGACAGCCACAAGTGAGCCCAATATTTCTGTTGCTAAATGAGACATTTAAGTCAGTGTTGCCCCATTTTACGACCTTTCTTGCCTCAGTCATTAAGCGAATCGCTGCAGCTGATAAGTTAGTAACCCGGTGGTTAAGTGAATCTGGCTTCCCCCATTGACTTTGCTTGTCAGAAGGTCGCAAAAGGGAGTCACGTGACCCTGGGATGCTGCAAGTCATCGTCGTCGTCATCATCATCATCATCATATGATTGGAAGGGACCTTGGAGGTCTTCTAGTCCAACCCCCTGCTCAGGCAGGAAACCCTATACACCATTTCAGACAAATGGTTGATCGTAAGTATGAACCAGTTTGCCAAGCATCTGAATTTTCATCACCTGATCATGGGGATGCTGCAAAGATGGCAACTGTGAAAAACGGTCATAAGTCACTTTTTTCAGTGCCACCGTAACTTTGAACGGTCACTAAATGAACTGTTGTAAGTCGAGGACGTCCTATACCTTATTATGGCAGGTTGTGATCTTCCCAAATTTAAACAGGATCCAATGAAAGGATGGGCCACATTAGGAGTTTTGCATGCGTTGAAAAACCAGTTTGTTGAGGGATACCATGCTCAGCTTAATTTCATTCAAGCCACATTCAGCCGCCCTACCCTGACAGCATTAAGACAAAGCACAGCTTTCTCTTTATAAGATTAGCAGTGCTGTATTCTGATTCTCTTTCTCCTCAGTACTGATATGAATTCAATTGTCATCACCTCGACTTAAAAAACAGAATTCCATCCCCGCAAAGTGAATAATAGAGAATTAGCGCTGCTTCTTTATTCTGGCTCTCTTTAACTCAGGCTGGTCCTCAGACGTCATCCCTGGGGCCTTTTCAAAGGGATTTAGAGGCTCTAAACATTCGTAGCCGATAAAAAAATAAAATAACAATACACGTCTGGTTTCATCCTTCAAAATCCCTGGCGTAGTATTTTAATCCTTTGGAATCTGGTATGAACAACTAAATCTATTTCTGATAAGGCTAACAAGAGCACTAAAGCCATACTGGACTTCTTTCCTATTGAAAGTGGCAAGTATCTATCAATTGCCCTAAAACTTTTTAAAGCTAAATCCATCTCTCAGATATTATATAGGTTTCAGATGCGTCCATATAATGACTTAAAGGCCTTAGATACTATCCAATCCAGATGCCAAAGGCTATTATTCTGCACGCCTGCTGCATTCTGAACAGAGCAATCTTCTCAGAAGGTGGGGTGATCCATTGGAGTTTACGATCCCTTTAGGTCAGTTCTATTTTTGGTTTCACCTTCAGTCTTCTAGCACAGGGCTTTTCAACCTTTTCACCCATTGTACCACTTTTAGGATATGGCAACATCCAAGTACCACTAGGCGCCTAGCAAGGTGTCAAAAACTTGACCCAAAAAAAAAAAAGGAAAAAAGCGATGAAGTATAGGTAGTCCTTGACTTACAACAGTTCGCTTAGTGACTGTTCGAAGTTACAATGGCACTGAAAAAAGTGCCCCCCAAGCCACAGCAGAGCAAGACACCTGCCTGCCCAGCCAGCAGTGCTCTTCCTCCTGTCCGAGGTTTTCATTGTTGTGAGCATTTCTGTAGAGGATTGGCAGCAGGGGTGGAGTGGGGGGTATTTGGTTTTTATTCCCCCCCATCTGCTGGGTGGTTGCAGCAGGTTTTGGTCACTTCACATGACCCTGGGACACTGTGACCGTCATAAATACGAATCAGTTGCCAAGCATCTGAATGTAAATCACAACACCCTGGAGATGCTGCAACCTTCCAGCTGATCTGCGCTTCTTCTGGGCTCAGCAGAAGCACCAGGATCAGTGCCGCTTTCCAGCTGATCGGTGCTTCTTCAGGGCTCAGCAGAAGCACCAGGATCAGCACCAAGCTCCAGCTGGAGCCTGGCGCTGATCCTGATGCTTCCACTGAGCCCTGACAGTCCCGAAGAAGCGCTGATCCTGGTGCTTCCGCTGAGCCCTGACAGCCCTGCAGCTCCAGCCATCTCTTGCTCAGGCTTGTGCGGTGCTGCCATCGGTTCAGCTCATTCCCCTCCCCCGCTACTTTTCTGGGATGGTCGCGTACCACCTGCCAGGTGCCAATGTACCACAGGTGGTACCCGAACCACTGGTTGAAAAGCCCTGTTCTAGCAATTCCCTGGCTTCTGCAACCTATAATAGTAGTCCTCGACTTATGACCACAATCGAGCCCAACACTTCTGTTGCTAAGTGAGACACTTCTTAAGTGAATTTCATCCCATTAACAACCTTTCTTGCCACAGTTGTTAAATCTAATCACTACAGTTGTTAAGTTAGTAATATAGTTGCTAGGTGAATCTGGCTCCCCCGTTGACTTTGTTGTCAGAAAGTTACCCATGACCCTGGGGCACTGCCACCGTCATAAATATGAATCCGTTGCCAAGCCTCTGGATTTTGATGGGGTTGCTGCAAAGGTCGTGAGTGTTGAAAAAAGGGTCGTCAGTCAGTTTTTTTCAGTGACATTGTAACTTTGAACGCTCACTAAATGAACTGTTGTAAGTCGAGGATGGTCTGTACTGACATTATTCTTTTTCTTGGCAGACTAGAATCCAGATTAAGTGCAGTTTCTTGTCCAATTTCTGCTGGCCATGGGTCCAACAAGACTTAATGCCATCCTTTGGCAGCAGGTGTAGCTACTCTGTAGGTAGTCTAGGGTGATCTACTGTAGTAGCCCAGGGGTAGGCAACCTCGGCCCTTTTATGACTCATGGACCTCAACTCCCAGAATTCCTGAGTCAGCTATGCTGACTCAGGAATTCTGGGAGTTGAAGTCCATGAGTCATAAAATTGCCGAGGTTATCTACCCCTGTAAATATAAACAGGAAACATCGGCAATGTATTTACAATTACCTGTATAATATTCTTTGGCCTGCTTTAATGTCTTACCCTCTCACCATACCGGAGGGAAAATATAACAGTACCCCTTTTCTGAATGAAATTGCCTGGAAGAACCTGAGATTCTAGCCCACATGCTTCTTTGACGCTTCTTTGATCCCGCGTATGTCCTTTTTGTAGCAGTTATGTGCCCTAACTCCACCTCCTAGCCAAAATTCCATTTGTCTACGGGTGACTTTATTTGCTTTCTTATTATCAGGCTAGATTAACATAGAGAATCAGGCAGGATACAATTTACAATAAATCATCATCATCATCTCCAAAACAGTCACAAAATCCTTACAGCTGCCATTACTTTATACAAGAAAAGTGTCTTCTACGTTAGGGTTTTATAACTATGTAAAATGCATTTTTAATATTCATTTTATATCTTTCTGCCACATGCGACTGGTCACTGATTGCGATAACGTTATGCATAAACAGAGGATGCAATCAACCAACTGCTTTTCCTTCTTACACGAATATTGTCTAATATTTATAAGTGCGCTCTGTGGAGGTGGCTAGAATGCAAACCAAACCAAACAAATACTTTTTTAAAAAAATGTACATCCCGTGTATCTTCCAGGAGCAAAAGATGGCTTCATAAGGATTGCCTAAGCTCAAAGCCATGTATCCCGGTCCATTGGTGCCTTTGCCTGCAACTAAAGCTCTTCAGTAAGAATTATTTTGAAAATTATGCATGATGATCAAGTGTCAAGATGTTCCGGTGATTGCCACAGAAGGAAGACTTCGACCTTCAAAGCTATTGAGTGATCGAGCTATCAGATCTGGGCTGCAAATTTCAGGTGCCCACGAGGCAGAAGCAAAAGTGGTTTGTTTTTTTCTGTTGACATCTAGTGACAACCCAGATTTTGCAGCCCAGCTCTGCTAGCACTAATCAGCAAAGGGGCACGACCTTTGCTGATTAGTGTGCTAGCACCTCTAAATGTTAGGAACAATCTAACATTATTAGATTATGTTAGGAACAATCTAACATTATTAGATTATGTTAGGAACAATCTAACATTATTAGATTATAATAATCTAATAACCTAATCTTACCCCTTTTTTGCCCAGCCGTCCTCATGATTCAGCCTTGGATATTTACATTCCTGCACAGAAGGCTATAAACATTCTAGTAAAATATTCAATTCTACAAGTTCTCTCCCCCCCCCTCCCCGGTACCTTTTTCTTTACTGCCAAGGATTGATCTGTAGCCAAAATAACCAGCAATTTTTGTAAAGCACCTCCTTGAATCGCTGCAACTTGCACTCTGGGGTTGCTGGGAAGAGAGGAAATAAAAACTCATTACAGTCAAAAACACCTCAGCATCCTTTAAACTTTACTGCAATCTGGCTTTCATGAGAAATAATTGTGTCAGGCTAAGGGTTTTTTTTTGTTTTTTTTTTAACAATATATTTGCAAAGCTGAAAATGAATACGAAGCCCTGGAGAGAGATCCCACTGCAAAGCAGCACTTACTGGATGTTGGTTTAGCTTCGCAAGTCGCCACCTGCTGGAGCAATTTGACAAGATGAAAAACACAATGTCATTTTAACACAAGCCACGGACGCGCAAAGTAATTCCGGCACAGATTGTTCTGTGCACAACGCGGTTGCTTTTTGGGTGGCTGATGTCTGAACCAAAAACAGATCGTTTTTGGTCCAGATAGGGAATAAAATAAGGTCATTTGGTTCTGAATATGCCTCGAACTGCTATTCTTCCTGGCAGAAGCGTTTTTACTTCTATTTTACTATTTTCCATTGGGGAAGAAAAAGGCAATGATGAAGCAGATATGGGTGAGGCATGAGAGAGAAGGTGCTGGGAAGACAAGATCAGTACCCTTCCACCCCTGCCTCCCCCACGCCCTTAGCAGCTTCCTCGGGCTGTTGAGATAAGCCTTGTTGGGAGCTACTGAACACAAGAGGGGAAAGAAAGGGTGAGGCATATGAATTTTGTCTTAAACATTCCCTAAAATTCTTTGCAGGTTTGGTTTTGGCTAATTTGTGTCCTATGGTCAGGAGCAAAAACTGACTTGCATAAGGATTCCTCTTCATTTTACCCCCACGGTGATAACCATATGAAGGTAGTTGTCCTAAAAGAAAATGATTAACTCGGTGTCACCCGGAAGGGCATTGTGGGACATTATCTTCAGCTCGAGATAGTTGCAATATTAAAGGAGATGATCAGGTATGGAAATGTTTAGATGAACATTATAAAAAGAAGACTTCAAGACATCAAGAGGGAGGCTAAAATGTTCAACAACAGGGCTATCGAATCCGAGCTGCAAAGCTCCACCTAACCGCAGCAATTTTGTTTCTGCTAGTCACAGCTCATCCAGCATGGTTCATCAGAACTTCTAGAAGGCAATTGTGTTTTTTAGGTTCTAAAAAACACTATTTTCCATTCCACACACATCTCTACAGGAAGTGTATGCACGCATCTACTAAAAACATTTAGCATTTTTACAAACATGTCTTATGTACATCCATGAAAAGAAAACCTGGTAGGTTTAGCATGTTCTTTTACTTTAAAAAAAAAAAAAATTGCCACAACAGGATTCTAGATCTTTTAGGTAATCTAGGCATTGTAATGCAAAGAGTCTAGTTTTATCTTATAGGTCAGAATGGCAAAAGATCAAAACTCACATCCTTCTGGAGATTATCAGAGGAAATGGCCACTGTAATTTGAGAATTGTTAGATTTCTTCCTTTTCTTTCTTTTGCTGTTTCCATATGAACTGATTGTCTACGTAACTCATACTCTGCTATCCTGAAACCACATTTCTCGATCATCTACTGCCACTAACCGTGTCTTAATAATCCTGAACTACACTTCTCATCTTAAACTTAGCTGTAAATGGTGGATTGGTAACACCAAATCCTGATTTTGTTGTATTAGGTTAAAATGGGGAAGTATAAGAATGAAAATCACAATCATTCTTCAAGGAAATTGGGGCAGGGATGAGAGGTCTCTAGGATAGAGATGCTTTTGCTTTTCATAGTCGGTTCAGAAATAGGAGTTACTCCCATGTCCATCAACAACCAAGCCTAGACTACTTTGATAAGATGAGATGAGATGAGATGAGATAAGATGAGATAAAATCATCTTTATTGTCATTCTTTTACTGTGGGCACAACGGCACACATCAAAAATGAAATTTAGTTGCCTGTTCTCAAAGTGGAACACATACATGACACACACCTAAAACATACTATATGCAACATATGTATAGACCCACACCCTCACATATACGTAGCAAATAAATATTAAATACTGTCCATCTTTAATATATAACGGAAGGAGGAAGCTTGAGAGTTCACAAGATTAATGCTGTATGGAATGAAACTATGGCTGAATCTGGATGTTCTGCTACGGATACCGCAGAGTCTCCTCCCAGAAGGTAACAAGGAAAACAGGTTGTGAAGAGGATGTGTAGTGTCCCAGATAATCTTATGGACCCTGCTCAAGCAAAGTGATTTTTACCTTTAAATCTACCCAGAGACCTTCACTAGCAGGATCAATGTCAACATCCTTGCCAAACTGGAAGACGTGCCTATCTCTACTGAAAACATGTTTGGCTTCTCAGTCTGAACTTCAAAATCTTAGTTTTGCCTCTGAGCTCAATTTTAGCTCTTTGATCTTGCTCGTGGCTGGTAGAACTGCATTCTGTAGACAGTTTTAGACAGAAATATCCTTTTTTATGTTGCTAGGATGTTATTATAATTTATATAGCACTCTCTATGGACTTGACACAGTGCAGATTTGTATTTCATGTGGTTTACAATCTGAATGTAAATATGGGAAATGGCAAAGGAAAATGATGGGAATAAAGACTGACGGAAATAGTATACAATTATTTTGACTGCATGCATCTCTCCTTTGTTACAAAAGGCATTTGCTATTCCAAAGATATCCATGATGTCTTGCATTCAGATTCAAGAAATAATATTGTATAAACAGAACTGGACAGGTAAAGAAGACAGATGCCCAAGTTAAGAAGCAGGGTTTTCACTAGTGAGACAGACCTTTGGAAAGTTTTAGAGAATATACAGCATGTTTTGAGGGCAGATTGAATGGGAAAGGACCAAGGGTATAGAAACATTGAAGTAGAAGCTACAGTTTGGTGGTGGATTGATGGACCGGAGGATGATATTGTTAAGAATTAAAGAGACACATTTTTTTGAAAAACTTTACATTAAACCTCCAATGCCAGCCAAGATATAAAGATAGTGCACATGAAATAAAGATCAACCCTGAGCATGCAGTGAGATGCCACAAATATGTTGGCTTCTCTTCAAAGGAAACACTCTTCATTTTCACTTGGAGAAAAATGACAATAGGAAGGGGGAAAAGCCATTTAATACAGCTAGTAGTGCCAACTAACCCACAAAGACAATATTGCAGTACCATAAACATATCAAGATAATAAACAATGATTGGGTATTGAAGAATAAGTCAGCATAATCACAAACAGTAAGAGAAAAGAACCAGTGACAGGATAACGTGACTGTGAAAAGTCATTTTGGCTGAACCTTGTAGGTATAGCAATAACATTTACGAATAAAATACCTTTCCTGCATTCTAAGCACTGCTTTAAACAAGGTAATATCTTCCCCTGTTCTCTTCCCTCAGCTTCGTTTCACAAATTATTCCATTCATTTGCCAACTCAGTGTTGTATCTGTTGACTTCTTTTTTTAAAATTCAAACTCATTTTCCACATCTCCCTGGCTTTTTCTGTTCCATTAACACAGTGGTTCCCAACCTTTTCTATACCCCGCACCCTGATATATTCTGATATATTCTCGCACCCCTTACAAAAGTTCGAAATAACGGCAACGAATTATTCATATACACTATAATTTTGAAAACCCAATTTTTCGCACCTCCTGGGATATCGTCTCGCACCTCCAGGGGGTGCAAGCACCCCTGGTTGGGAACCCCTGCATTAACATGATGATGTATTTAAAACATTATGATCATATTTTAGAGTCAGCCTTTTAATATCAAGAAGAGTAGATCTTCCTTCCATAAAAGTCAGAGCATAACAAGTCTGATTGTCAGAACCCTATGTTCTGGGTGCATGGGATTTCTTATTCTTTTTGGGTTCTGCCATTCTCCTGAGGGGGAGGGGGAAGCTTGAGGTGCCGAAGTGTATTTGCTTTGCTCTGTCTCTTTCTCTATCCTCTTTGATGTGTCTCTAATGGGATGAGAATGGAATGTACCTCTGGCCATCTGCCTTATCTCTGAGCGGTGCAGACACCTAACAGCCTTGAAAGCGGCGCCTTATCACTCTGTTCCCACGGCATTCTCACACCTGCAGATTGGCCTGTTTGAACTGTCTGGATGGACAGTTAGGGTGAGGTTACTATGGACTCTTTTAATTATTTGATTTGCGCGGGCAACCCTCAGATCCTGCCTTCTATTCCTGCTGTCAATACCTCCCAATAAAAGTTCCTTTTGAAATGATGCCGTTTCAAGAGTTCTGCTTTCTTGGGAGAACTGATTGAAGCGGGTCCTTACATTAGGCACCAAAACAAGCAAGGTGGTCTCAACACTCCCACCGGTTTAACTTTACTATCGAATACCTGTCTGGGGGAAAAAAATTCTTAGCAGACGCTTTGTCAAAGTTGCCACAGTATAAAAGCACCAAAACAGAAGTGGTGGACCCCCTCATGCCATCTAAACAATTAGCGGCTCCAGTAACCACACGCTTGCAAGCAAAGAAACCAAGACCCCTAGATAGCGAAGCAGGAGCGGAGTTCAGGAAGGCTTTGGAAACAGGTGAATGGTTCCTGGATCATAAGAATCTCTGCTCGATGGATGATGGACTGCCTTGGGTGGGTGGAAAATTATATGTGCCCAAAGCCCAGAGACTGAAATTTATGCAACTATGTCATGCCTCAAAGATGGCTGGACATTTTGGGTTCATGAAAATGCTCCATCTAGTAAAGAGACAGTTTTGGTCGCTGTCCATAAAGAAGAACATTGAAAGCTATGTGGCTAGCTGCCCCATCTGTGCAGCGGCAAAATGAAGACAGGGTATTGCAGGTGGTAGCAAGCCCATTAGTATCTTGGTGGGAGATTTCCATGGATCTTATCGTGGAGTTACCAGAGAACGCAGGGAACACAGTCATTTGGGTGGTACTGACCTGTTCTCCAAACAGGTGCATTTCATCCCGTGCACCATGATTCCCAAGGCCAAGACTCTAACGAAGATGTTTTAATTACTTGATTCATGCGGGAAACCCTCAGATCCTGCCTTCTATTCCTGCTGACAACA